TAATTTTTTAGCATATTTTTTATTATATTTAACTATCTTCGCCCTCAAATTCGTATAAAGGATTTAAGAATCATTATGAAATATAAAGGTAGTATAAGAAAATTCATTAATGGGGATGATATAGGCCTCTTTGGATCAATAAAATAATCATATCCCTAGTATTATGGGATATACTCTAAGAAATATATATTCTTCTTCTTCCCTCTTTTCTAAGTAATATTAAGCTCATTCCCATCTCTTTGAATATGCTTTTTCTTCCTTTCTTCATCTTTCTTATCTTGTCAGCTTATGCTATAATTCGCTTATAATTAACAACATTATTTTTTTAAACAGAAAAAGAGGTAATTTTATTTTGATAGTCAATCAGATAACAATCCAACATTTGATTCAATGAAGAGCATACACCCATTTGGACTTTACCAAGCTTAAAGAGATCTAAAACTAACAAGAGAACATCAAAATTTGACACAAGTTCAAATTTATAATGAGGTACTATCATCCCCTAAGTGTAGTTTATCATACTTCCACCGATTTGGTGGAGCATAGCATCGATTTCGTCTCCATCTTCCATACCCAAATCTTCGGGTGTTTGTTCATCACGAAGCTGACGACCATCAAAGAGAAAGACAACATTATTGATTTCCAAAGACTGTCGATTACAGTAGTGATTCATGATATTTTTGAACTTGACGATAGGTCTAACATAGTAATATATATCATGCCTATTTTCGTACTTGATCTTCAGGGTGATTTTCGATGTCTGATTTGAGTTATTATGCTGTTCCTGACCATCGCTCGACATTCTTCGCTAAATGCAGCCTTCCTCAAATCGTGAAATTTTTAATAGGTTTATGGTACTATTTATATGCATATGAGAGATAACATGTAAGGAAGCTACTTATTGATAACATTTCTCCTAGAAAATATGGTATAATATGAACATAAATAATTACAATTTGATAATATGGCAAGAATACTAAGGGGAATTTTAGATATATTGAAAACACGGCAAGAGTAGCAGAGAGAATTATGAAGATATTATTGATTGCTATTTTTTATTCAGGACAATTATTTATGATATATACACATACACACCCCCGCACACACACCCTAATGCCGCATCATCCCATTTAAAGTTCCACCAATTAATAATTTGTATCTACTATATATAATATGTAGGGGTGTCAATTTCGGGTCACGGGTCGGGTTCGGGTCGAACCCGAACTGACCCGGGTGCGAAACGGGTCGACCCTAACCCGAACCGGGCGGACGTGGGCGCAGCCGCTGGCGCGGGCTAGCAGCGCGGGCGGGCAGCGGGCAGAGGCGGGATTTGAATTTTTTCGAATTAAACGGGTTGGCGGGTTGACCCGGCAACCCGCCGGGTCAACCCGAACCCGACCCGTTTTTGAAACGGGTCGATTTCTGGAACCCGAACCCGACCCGTTTTGAAATCGGGTCGGGTTCAACCCGGATTTTCCGGGTCGGGTCCGGGTCGTGTTTTCGTGTCGTGTCAAATATTGACACCCCTAATAATATGTGCTAAGAGAAATTAGATACTTTAACATGTATAAATTCCTTATACATCATTTCTCGTATGTATTTGCATCAAAGAGGGAAAAATAAACAAATCAAATGGTAGAAGTTTAAGTATTTCAAACAGTTACGTAATTTGTAAATGAGAAAATTAATATCAAAATTATACTATCTGTCATAAAATGATAAAATTTAAAAAAAAAAAAAAAAAGAAAAGTAAAGGAAGATACTATATATTCTTTTGAGTGATGAATCCTCCTTACTCAATAAGAGGAAATAATGTATCTAATAATATACATTTACTGAAATATATGGTGAGTTATAATGAATAAAGTTCAGCTAGCATTTTTTAGTAAAAAAATTTCATGTGAACGCATATTATTTTCCCTTTTTCTAACTAAATGTTATCTCTTTTTTTTTATTATTATTTAATTAAAAAGCCATAATTAGCATCCAAATTCCCTTCTTGCTCTGTAGCAATGTAAGCTTCATCTTTCGGAAAAATTATTGTGCGGACGTCGAACGCCATCCGAAGACCAATCATGATGCGCCACATCACCCTTTTATTGTATCTTGGATCGGTATTGCTCGGTATCACTCGGTACTGAAGCATCCAAACGTAGAGCTGTGTTTGACGTCCGCTCAGAATAATTTCTCCATCTTTTGACAGCAATAACTTCAATATATTCATTGATCTTGTCCATTCGTTTGTAAATTGAAAAGGGCTTGGATTCTATTTTTAGAACTATAAGGTTATAAGGCAAAATTTTTTTAAATGGATTATTTTTAAATTTAATTAATCAAAAAATGTGGGGAAAATATTTTGCAAATGTGACCGAGTTGCGACGTATTCTTCATCCTCTTCTATATTTTATTCTTCCCTCCCATAAATGGAGAAAGAGAGCAAATTAAAATGATTTTTTTTAGGTTGACATAGCATTGCTTAATTAAAAGTAAAATAAATATAAAATAAAAGCAACAAAAAATTATGAATAAAAAGTAAAAAAGTAAAAAAATAAGAGCCAAACTAGGAAAATTAGGATAAACAATCATTAATTCAATACAAGGAATTCAAGTTATTCATGACAAGTAATTTTTTTAAAAATGGTTGACACTCATTAAAATATCGACATTAAATAGCCATCAAGCTCTTAATTTTTTTGTAGGATTGAAGTGAATGGAAGATAAGAAAATTTTTTGTGACAACTTTCTTACTGCTTTCTAAGGCATCCTTATAGTATAAAAATTTTTGAACTAGATATTTTTATACTAAAAAATTATTCTAAAAATCAATAAAAAAGATATCGCAAATAGAATCTTAATTTAAGTTGAGAGTATATTCCCTATCTAGATTAATGCTTAGCCTTGACTGCAACCAAACCATAAGACTTCTAATTATGCTACTTGTATTCTCTCTAGAATCTTACTGGTTGGACCGAGTAAATGATATTGGTCAAAAAATGGACTTAGGCTTTCCATTCAAATTAATTAGCTATTTAGCATGACTTCATTTTACTTTGATAAATGCTAACATTTCATATTTATAAAATAAGAAAATAAGTTTAATGATTTTTATCGGTAAGCGAATATAAATGTTTTTGAGAATTTTAGAAAATTTTAAATAATATTATTTCAATAAGAACTAATGAAGAATAATAGATTAAAAAACTTTAGTGCTTAGATGGTGCACTATTAAATAAAAATAATTATAATGTTATTGTAGCTTTTTTTTTTTGAGAAATTAAGAGCCAAACCAAATATTCATTGATATATTAAAATATTATATAAGAAATTAAAACTATAAATCAAGAGGTACGACAAAGTAGCCCCAGATAAAAAATAAATCATTGTAATTATTTCATAATCATAAATCACTTTACTTTAGTACAGATAATAATAAATGCCAAATATATTAAAAAAATAACTTTATAATTATAATGCACAGCTCCGTTCTTTATCCTTGTTGTCATAGAATAATGGCAGTGATAGAGAAATATAAAATTTAATGTCTTAGGTTTGTATTAAAATCTAGCACATAATCAGATAAAAGAGAGGGTGTAGCGTTCATAAGAGACACCAAATTTTTTACGTGAAATCCCTTAAAAAATAAAAAATCACGGGGCATGGCCCAATTTGAATTAATCCATTATTATTTGCACTCAATAGAGGTCAGAAAGATCGTAGTTGGATGACGGTAGTCAAAATGATCATAGTCAGCGAGCGATGGAGGTCAGAAATATTGTAGTCAAAAGATGGTGGCTGGAAGGATCGTAGTCGACGGGTGACGCAGGTCGGAAGGACCATTATCTTGTGATGGAGATCGGAAAGACTATAGTTGACGGACGATAATGATCAGAAAAGATCGCTGTCTGGCTAAGGAGGTTAGAAAGATCATAGTCAGCAGACGATATTGGTTAAAAAGATCATTGTTTAGTTATGGAGGTCGGAAGGATCATAGTCGGTAGGCGATAATAGTCAGAAAGACTGTTGTCTGACGACTAAGATCAGAAAGATCATAATTGTGTGATTGTGGTCGAAAGGATCGTAATTGGAGGTCAACATTTGTCAAAAAGACCGTTGTTTAGCGAGAGAGGTCGGAAGGACTATAATCGACAGCTGGGTAGAAGTGCAGTGTCGCTTGATGGCCGACCAAGTAGAAGTTAAACATTTGTTGGTGGTCGGGTGTAAATTCAACAATAATTAGAAGTTGTGTGGAAGTCCAACGTTACTTAGTGGCCGAACATAAGTTTGGTATCAGTCTGTGATCGGGCAGAATCCGGCAATGGTCCAGCGATGGTCGGTGGTCCGATGGTGGTATGTTTACTGGCATTTTAATGCCTTAATGATATCAGAATTTGACGATCTTGGGCTCGTTTGATTCGTCTCGTCGAGTAACTCGATTTGACTATAAGCATGTCATATTTGGAAGTATTTTAGTCATTCAATTCATAGTTTGAACCTTTCAAAGGCGCTTCGTGTATTCGATTTGGACTCATTTGGGCTCGGATTGAGTCTAATTTGGTGTCGTTGGGTTCGTATTTTTTAAACATTCAGTTGGATTGTAAGTTTGCTAAAATCGGAATTTGGATGATCCAAAATTTAATTTCTGAAGTTTTCAATTTGATTTTGCATCGAGATACGTGCCTAATGAAGATAAATTTTTTGATGATATATCAACCCTTATCCTACGCCAAAAAGAAGGCCGGAAGAAAAAAAAAACTTCTAGTAGATACAGAGGGTGTTACCTGTTAGTTTCTCTAACATCCAATCCTCGTTTCTAGAAGCACATCACCGCGTCCTTTTTTCTGCAAAAGAAGACAAATAAAAAATAATTTTACGTGGACGCGAGAGAAACAGAAGCCAATTATAATAGCTCTGGTGGGCCCCACAAGCTTACAAGGAATAGTAACTGGCCCGTTCTAAGCGAGACTCGGAGAATCTTCCACCTTGTCAAACATAATCTCTCTTTACCTCTACCGGTTTCGCAGTCCTGCAGTGCACAGCACCTGTTTGTTTAAATACCCCAGCGAACTCCGTCTCCTTCCACCATCTAAAAAAAAAAACAGAGAAATCGGGCACAAAATTAGGGACTTAAAACTCGAATCCACAGTCATGGAGCTTGGAAGATGGGAGGGGATGCAGATGGATTGCCTTGTAAACATCTTCTCTAAGCTCGGCCTGGACGATCTTACCACCGCCGTACCCCTCGTCTGCAAATCTTGGAATCAGGCATCTGTCGACCCCCTTTGCTACCGGATCCTCGATTTTCGTCACTTAGACTTTAATCCATCGAGCCCCTTCGCCTCGAGATTCGCATTCGAGTTCTCCGTTCCGCGATTCTCCTTCTCCGACTTCTTGAAGCTCGCCATGGCACGTGCCCGTGGCGCCGCCGTTGATCTCCGATTCAACTCGCTCTTCTCCGCTTCAAGCCAAGATCTATCCCTTGCATCCGATGAGTAAGTTCTGTTTCCTTAAATCGGTACTGCGTCTCGAGATGTCTAGGGCACTAACGATTTTCGATCTATAATAGATGCTCGAAGCTGAAGAACCTGATCCTGCCTCGGATTGAATCCGAAGACGAGGAGCTGCTCTTGAAAGCAATTAGCAACTGGAAGGAGCTTGAGGTGCTCGAGATGGAATCCAAGCCTTCAGTTCTTCATGAGTTGGTGAAGCAGATCGGCCTCCACTGCAACAAATTCCAGGGGCTCAAGCTCCGGGGATCCATCAAGAAAGAGGATGCCGCGGCGATCATCGGATCTCTTCCGAAACTGAAATGGTTAGATCTGAGCTGCTGCAGGTTAGGCAGAGAGGACCTGCTTGCTATAATTGACGGATGCCGGGATCTAAATAGATTATGTGTGAGGGAGTGTATCGGGTTTGAGGTTGATGAGGAATTGAAGAGAAGGGCGAGTGGGATTGAGGTTTTTGAGCATGAGGGATCCATGATCGAGGATGAGTGTGAGCTTGATGAGCTTGAAGATGATCGGAATGTGTCGTTGGAGCAGATGTTGATGTATTATGACGATTGCTACGCGATGTGGTTGTTTTGAAATTTTGATGCGCATCATTAATGGGAAATGTGGAAGCAGGTTTCCAATCTGTTTATCAATGGCTATCTTCTTCTTGTCGAATTTTGAAGTTTGGAGTTTTTGCTTTTGATTGCAGGCCGATGAATGCACTGAGGTATTGTGTTGATCGTAATTATTGACATTATTTTTTTTATTTAAGAAAATTTACCATAATGTCACGTCTGCCCTAAACCCCCAAGTTAGTGGGCAGAAGGTAATTTTAGTGAGTTGGAGGAGTAGGCTCTGGCTTTGTTTGGGATAATTTTTTTACTGCTTCTTGAAACAGTTTTTTAACATAAAAATTAATTTTTTTAATTAAAAAATTACTTTATGAAGCGGTAAAAAAATTGTCCCAAACGAAGCCTCTATTGAATAGAAACTGTGTTTGTAATCTATTTAGGGCATTTCTTAAATTTTCGACGATTAGGGGGTTTTAGGGTTGAATAAGTTAGAGAAATGTTTTAAAATTTGGTGGGAGATAGAGACGAAAACTACAATAAGATACCATTAGGGTTAATTCCGAAAATATAAACTTACTATCATCAAAGTGTCAAATAATGGAGAAATTAGCGAAGCCTCAAACCGTGAAGCCCGACACCGAGCTACATCTTTTAGAGTTATTCTTCTTCTTCTTCTTTTTTTTAATCAAGCAACATCAATCCATCCAATTCTTTAACATAGAGTATTTATAAAATTTTAGCTGAAAAGAAATTTCAAAAAAAAAAAAAAAGAGAGAGGGAAGGTAGTAGGGGCAAGTGAAGAGATGCCAAGGGGTGGAGAAATTATTACTTGCGGAGTCCAGACGTAGAGTTACAACTGCACTATGAGTGTACACAGTATATATAATACTGTGTACTTTTATACACACTGTATACACTCACAGTCCAGCGTAATGCTACATCCGGAGTATATAGAGAATAATCTCTCTAAGGGGTGGGGTGGATATATACTTTTGGTCAAGTTTTAACTGCTTATTAAAGTATGGGTGGCCATCTAAACATGAATTTTTTTTACAATTAAAATTTAAATTTAATTAATTAATCCCTCCATATGGTCCTTCAAAAATTTTAAACTTTACTATTTTAAAATTTGAATACCAAAATTTCAGGTTTTATAACTATCCAAATATAAAAAAATATTAGAATATATTCTTTCATGTTATCATAAATGGGTCTCTGCGGATACCGGATGGTTCTCCCCTACGGTTACGCCTAGGTATCAAGTATGGATAGCGAGTTCGGTATCGAGCACGGTACATTTTTGAAATGACATGTAACGTTTTTATTGATCTTCGAACGGATCCACACAGAATAATTTTTCCCTTACTTGGCAATGGCTTCTTTCTTCCTCAGGGCTCTTATGAGAGCTACTGTTCTTCCTCAATTAGCTCCATGGGCTATGTTATTTCTCACGAATCTCAAATAACTCTTCTTTGAAGAGTTAAAATACATATTTTGTTCTCTTTGTTGTTTTGTTCACACCTCATATGTTAGCCTCTAGAAAGGAATTTGTTTAGGCACTCGTAAATAATGATATTATCAACCTATAAAAGAATCACCATCTAAATTTGCCAACTTCCATATATGATATTAAATATTCTACTTCAGAAACAGAGCTAATGTTTTTAACACAGTGAGTCTTATGTCATTATCAAAGTGTTCGAATGATTACAAGCTTAAATTGATTAATCTTGTTGTGGACCGTAGATTCAGAGAATTTTTTTATCTTAGTGATACATGAATATCTACCACATAAACAGATGGTTGAGAGAGCAAGAAAACACCAGTAACCTTTTATGTGCAAAATCTAAAACGGGAAAAGTCACGAGACCTTACCCAAGCGAAAATATTTCACTATATTTAAATAAGGTACAAAGGTAGACTCGTCTTTTAACTTGGAGATGATGAAATTACAATAGCATGGAGAATTGGTCGAACTTCATATAGGTACTGTGGAGTTTGTAGTGACCATAGTCGAATGACGGAGGTCGGAAGTTTGTGGCAGCGACTGGGAGAAGGTCCAATAGAGGTTCGATGATAGTGGCGGCCTAGTGGCCGGGCAGAGGACCAGCGGCATTCTGCGGCTGAGTGGCTGGTCAGAGGTCCGGCGATGTTCTACGGCTGGGCAGAGGTTCAACGGTATTCCACAGCTGGGCGGACGTCCAACAATGATCGACAGCTGGGTGACAGAAGTTTGCTTGCGGTAGTGCTTTGGCAGAGCTCTAGGATTCTTGAAGCCTAAGAACTCTCTCTCATCTCTGGCTAAATGTCAAGCCTTCTAACGTCCCCCTCATGTACACAGTGGACATCTATTTATAGATTTTGAGAGTGTCATGCTTTATAAATATGCAGAAGATTAGAGGCTGTAATATCCCATACAGGGGTCTCGTCGCGTGAAGAAGCCGAAGGAGGCGAGGAAGATGAAGAAGGTAAAGCGAACGGAAAGAGCTAGTTTAGGTTTCCTAGAGCCGTAAAGATGAAGAGGACCGTTTGTCGAATTGATTTTATTCTTGCACAAGAAGACGGGGCGGAAGATGAGGGAGTAGAGAGACTAATCGTTCTGCTAATTTTAGTCGACGCCATTTCTTTCATTTGGAAAAGTCGAATGGAGATTAAATGCTCGAAAATGAGCTCGTTGATTTCATCAATTTGATCTCAAAACAGTTCGTCGATTAGGAATGGATCTGTCAAAGTGGTTTCAGTTCTCTATAAATCAGGATTGTAAGGGAGAGGCAAGGAGACTGAAAGAGAAAGAATGAGCATGGAAGAGCCATGGCGAGCGAGCAAAGCAGAGGAGCCCAAGTAAGGGAAAATAGTTAGGTCCGGACACCTGATATAAAGATACATCAAGACATCCACTAAAAATTGACATATGGAGTGCATTTTAGTTGCGCTTCTTTTTGTGTGCTTTAGTTGCGCTTTGACTGTAATTTTTTATTGCACTTTGACTGTGCTTTACTTGCGTTTTACCTTCGTTTTCGTTGTGCTTTTGATGTGCTGATCCGCAGACACATTAAACATATTTAATATTCATATATCCACTCCACTTTTCGACATTTTATTGACATCCGCACCTATCCTGCAAATACTAGTGGATTCGTTCAAATTGGGCTAGGCCCCGTGATTTTTTCCCCTTTTATAGGGGTTTTCCACGTAAAAATCTTGGGGTCTCATAAATGCTAGACCCTCTTTCTCTTATCTGATTGCGTGCCGGATTTTCGTACAACGCTAAGACGTTAAATATGATATTTCTCTACCGCCGCGAATACTTCTGGACGCAACAATTACTAATTATTTTTTTTTATTTGGTAAGCACTTTATAATCATATATAATTTATACTCATCAAATCAATAATTTTTATGTTATAAAACGTTATCTCTTCAGTCTGGCGGTTGTATTTGTTTTATATTTTTATAATATATTATTCTAAAATTATTGAAATATATAATTAATTTCATAATTATAAAAGAGTATCTTTCTAGAATTAATTAGCTGCTGGTTATTGTAGTGGGAAAATTAGAAATCTTTCTAGGGATGATACACATAAATTCATTTTATTGTTTAAAAATGTCTCAAATTTAATTTATATAGCTAATAATATTAAATAATAAAATATTATTAAATTATGATAAATTAATTATTATTTTAAAAATATAATTGTGGATCATCAATGATAGCACGTGACCCTTGCATGGCCTTTAAAAACATTTTATTATATTTTTTTAGGGGATATTTTAAGCCAATTCAATGACAACTTCACCCACACCACATATATAAGCTTCAAATAAAAGATAAGTCTAAAACTCTCGATCACTAGATCAAAATGGATTGCATGGAAAATATGTTTTTGCTATAAAAGGCCACTTTATTTTGCATTTACCTTATTTATATGTTTAAATTTTTTAAGAAATCAAATGAGTTTAATCATAAGCATTATAATTTATTTATTTTAAATAATAATTTAATAATTAGATTGATCAAAGTTTTCAATGACAAGAGTCGATATTCTTAGTACGGTCAGTAGGTCAAGTTGATTCATGAGCTAATCCTAATTCAGCTCAATAAATGGCTCGTGATCCAAGCTCAATGAGCTAATGAGTCAGGTTTGAGCTAGCCTTGCTCCACTTGTTAGCTTGCGACCCGACTCATTTAAAAAATAATACTTTAATTAAAATATACTTAAAATATATTAGATGCCCAAAGTTCAAATACAAAAACATTAAAAATATTTAAAATTATTTCTCTTTTTTTTTATCAAGTGATTCATTATTATTTATCTTTATAATTTCTAAATTTTTCTACTTTTATTATAATAATTATTTAAATCATAATCATTTTCTTTCTTTTATTATAAAGAGCTGGTTCGAATTAGTATAATTAAGCTCAAGCTCAAATTTGAACTCGATTAATTAATCAAGCTCATGCATAAATTAGAGGTGACTCGTGCTTTACTCGACTTGTTTACATCCCTAATCCTTAGCTATAATGACATAGAGACTTGCAAGCTCATACGTACATTGGAGTATTATGATTTCATATTGAAATGATCAAAATGCCCTAACAATAAATATATAAATACTCACTTCCAGTTCAACAACATCATTCCCTGTAGTTGACAATCCTCACCTACCATCAATATTAATGACCAACACTATCGCTTGTCATAAACAAATATCGATGCCCACTGTCAAGTAACACTGAAGCTCATCATCACCGTCATCTGAAGTCAACTGCTTATAAATGCTTGACAACTACTCTTATGTTCATAAGTCTCTTCTCCTATAATAATACTAATCAAACAAACTTTGATTCCTTTGTTATTTTCTACTAATATTGACTTTGTGTATGTGAATTTCTAAGTTAAGGTAGCATTAAACCATCATATCTTATGAGTTATGTGCATCTTTTCCACTATAAATAATAGTGCTTTCACTCTCTTCATTTACTATTAAAACATAAAACATCCCTTTCTTTCTCTCAGTAGCAATCAAATGATCCTAAAGAAATAAAATATAAATGAATAGAAATGATAAATTGGGTTCTTTTTGTCATCCAATCTTCTT